AACACCAATTTTTGAAATAAATTGGTTAAAGAAATTTTCCAAACAATTAATAACTATTGAATAATATTTTTTAAGCCAACAAAAAAGCTCCAATTTAACTTGCTAACCCCTTAAAAGTTTATTTGTTCACCAAACTTTTAATAAAATATAAGTTGAAAAAAAAAAAGCCGAAAAAGAAACTACAAAGAAGTTTTCTCATATATTGAATAACAAAACTAAAAAACAAAAAAAAAACCAGTAAAATGTGAGGTGAATTAAAACTGTTCACAAGTAAATTTACAAGAATTTTGACCAGCAATTTTTACATCTAACTTTCGGTTCATCGTTTTAAACATTCAGTAAATAAATCATACAAAATCCTTTAATATTTATCCAACTGACCTGCACTTTCATTGATATTCTTCCAAAAATACACTTAATTCCCATCAAAGACCACAAGTTGAATGTAAATCATAAACTTCCAGCTGTTATAGCTCAGTTTATATGTACCCTAACCCCATTATAGCCACTGAAATCGTCTAACTTCTAAACATCAAGTAAGTGAAAAAAAATAAGCAGTTTTAACATCAAAAGGATCATAAATTACGAATTCTACTCCAAAAAAAATTCTTTGACATAAAAACTGGTGATACAAAATGAGGCCAAATCAAAAATTGACTTAGCATTATACGACTGGACACTAAGATTTGTAGACCAGACAATGAAACTGATCTATGCTGCAAGAATCAAAACAGGATCTCGACTTCTATCAACTGTCAGCAGATTTCCGACTGAAAATCTGAGAATATAAATAATTCCGGAAAAAATTAATTTATTATAATACCTAAAATTTTTCTCAAAAGGGAAGAGAACGTGAGTTTTTATACAATAACCATATTACTAAACAATTGCAAGAAATCTCTCAGGTAGTGTCTCATCAAAAAACTGATGCAGTCTGTCATTTATTTGAACTTTCTGTGAAAATGCGTAAAGGATTCTCTGTGCTTTTTGTGACAAGCTTCTTACCAACAGATGCTGCAAAAATACTGGCTAACCTACTGCTTATAAAGGTTGTCATCTTCACCGGTATTTTGGCTTCCGGTATTTTTGCTCAAAATGAAAGAGGAATTTCTACAATTTGAAAACCCACATTAAATAGAGAAAATTATCAAAAAGAAGCAAGATTAGAACAATGAAAAGCAACTAGAAGATGCTCTGAAAAATCAAGATATAAAATCAAAAAAACATTATTGAACGATGCCTTTTTGCCCCGATGCTGTTGAAGAACAACTCGGAAAGTATCAAATGGTCACACTTGTAAACGTTGAAGGAATAACACCAGAGGTTCTGACGAAAGGAGAATAACTGTCTCCTAGAAATATTAATTTAACTCTCCACCCTGCCTTGTTGTAAGGGGGTGCATAGGAAAAGAACGGCCATTTAATAAGGAAAAGTAGAAACAGAACAACCTTGTTACCTACATCACTCTTGAGAAAAAATTAACTGGCCCACAGCTGAATCAGTTGAAAATTGGTATCTACTCCAGTGATGTCGAACTGACAGTTTACTTTATTTGTCAGCTGATAGCTTCGCTGTAATATGCTAAGGCATACAAAATCATGATAAACTCAATTTGAAACGGTTTTTAAAGTTAATACAAACGCATACAGATCTGCATTTTCCTGCATAGTAAGCTGCAAAATCCATCATATAGCACTTGCTCTCCTCATTGCTCTTGGTTTTTTCCATCATTTCTCGTCTGCAACACAGACCTCAAAATTCTGGGCTTGAAAGCGAGATTGTTCCATTCAGCAACAAGTGTATTACTGTACTGTCAGAATCTTACCAAACACTATTCAGCAGAGTACATCTTAAAATCCTTCTTTAAACAGCAAAGTGAGGTTAACAAGATCTTGATTGAGCCGCACCAAAACTTCATATCATAATGAAAATCTTTGGTGTTGGCGTGGTAAAACAAGTGATCCAAGCCCTCTCAGGAACATTTTACTTTTGGGAAGAAATTGAAATGTGTGTTAACTTAGTGCATCTTGTTCCAGTTTCAAGCCTTGTTTTTTCGAACTTTTGGGATGCTCAGCTTCCTGAGAATACACTTCATGACTGATGCAATGATCCAGTGCCGCTAAGTAAGAATCAGTCTTTAAGTCAAAAAATAGGCATTATAAAAACAAACTTTTTATTGATATCTGAAGAATGTGGAGTAGGATGGTACCAAAAATTGCTAATTTTGGCAGTTTATGGCGAACCAAAAATACAGAATGATTTTAACGGTTATCAATCCACAGATTTGAACATTCATACTCATCGTATTAAAGTCAGGGTTTAATCGGTTTATAGGTTAGAGTACTGAACATTCAGTATAATCTGTAAAAATCAATTTTGACAACAAAACGCTGCTGCTCATGTTTCTTCCTGTAAGGACTCACCGTAAAATTTCGGTTTCAATACGGTAAAAAGCTGTAACCATTATAAAACCAAGTACCAAAGATGCCGACAGAGTCATTTAACTAACTGATATAAATAGAGGTTAAAAAACTGTGCGCCAAAAAAACTTAGAAAACTAAACTTTAAAATTCTAGAAATTGTTCGGAAAATACTACACCACTCACTCTCAACTACGGTTGTTTTTTTTAAAATTATAAACATTTTATAAAAAAGTACAGAAGTACAAAGTTTTCCCTGTAAAACTAACTCTAAGTCCCATTAATAAATTTTTACACGAAGATTAAAAATAAGACTTTTTTGTTCTTCAACCTCTGGAATTTACGACCCTACCTGAATAACAATGAGACTGACCATATATGTTTATAAAAGGCATACGATTGAGCAACAAAGAATAAAAAAAAAAAA